ATAAGTGAGTATATCTGCAAATAGTCGAATATCCGTTTCTAATAAGATACTCGATTTGACGAGACGTTTGAATTTCAATTATAGAGAAGTAGTGGAAGCGTATTTTCTCTCCTGCGTAAAGGAAGCAGATGTATTAAAGCACAGAAGCCAGGTTGTATCCAGTATGCAAAAGAAAGATCACAATCAATTATGGTCTGGTTTACTCAACGATAAGTTCGATCAATTCTGGTCTGTAAATCGAAAACTTATGGAGGCCAGTAACACGGAGGAAGGTTTTAAGTATATACCATTTCGATGTTATACGAGCGAGGACAAATACGTACAAAAACTTGTAAAACCTGTAAACGAGGAAGGCCAAAGGAAGACGTTAAGGCATTTGCTGAACGAAGTATTCCCAGACAATGAAAATGGTAAATATTTTGTTTGCTTGTGAATATTTTATGAGTTGTATGTATCGTTTTTCTTTTATAGTTACAGTGTTCACTCATGGTATTAGCCCACCTTTGGAAACACCCCTCCAATGGATGTCGGAACACATGAGCTATCCTGACAATTTTTTACATTTAATCGTGACATCATAACCCACAATGAAACAGCCAATTGACTAATTATCGATGAAGTCGTGAGTTAAGTGCTGTTTTCTCTCACCAGTATTACTGGTATTTTAATCAAGATCGCTTTACCACGGGTCTTTTTAATGTTATGTGCTTTGTCGTATATTTATTTTATACGAAATCATAAATGACCCTCTAATTTTTCCTGGATGATATCGGTTAAACGCAAAGCTGTTACTGTTGCTTATATTCTTGTAACGCACGAACATACTCAAACTCTGTCGTAATGGCAACGTTGGACTTGTGCTAAAATCGAATCGATATTGGACCACGTTTATTACAGATCGATCGGATTGTAATTCAATTCGCAATATTGTACCCGGAAGGAAATATATTGTATAAAAATAATTATATAAATATTTAAAGAATCATTTATGTATATAAACGTATTAATTACGATTGTATTGAATATCGTATAAAATCAATGTGAATATCATAGGTAGGAAATGAAACGAAAATTGATTGCTTGAAAAAGAGGGAAGTGAAGGGAGCGAAAACATTAAAGACACTAAACTATAAAATAGAGACATGGTCGTTTAATTTACAATCGAGAACCATAATTGTGTTATAAATTAGTTTATTGCACAACTGTCTCGAGGCTTTCGATATATCCTTAATATTTGCGAGGATACGGTACTATCGTTACGAGTTGCCAAAGAGCCGACTGGTCTCCGCACAATAACAGGGTGGTTTCCGTAGCTACTATATTCCATGGTTCTGCGACTCGTCCCAAAGGTTAAATAGTTAGCAAGTTCCTTTTTACTTTGTTGCTCCTGAAATGTAGAGATTTACGAGACATTGAAATAATTATTACTCGGAACAATGTACAAAACCATATACAATGTGTTCTTAAAATACAATTTATGTATTAAGACGATTCTAAGTTGAAATAGAAGATTAATAAAATGTTGTTTCTATATTTAATTACAATTTAAATATGACGTTTTCAATTGGTAGACCTGTGCGTCGTAAATAAATAATTACTTTAAATATGATCAGAGCAGCGTCTTGGTATCTCTTGTGAATCTCTTCCTTGGTCACTACGGCCTTCACTTCGGGCGATTCATAGCGCTCCGTCATTTACAACTCTTTTTTTCAATGGTCTTTGTATAGGAAACCTGTAACACGTATCGATTTACAAATTACGATATACAAATGGGATCCGCGATTGAACGACATGACAATCATCATAAAATGTCCTGTGTTTAACGAACCAGCAAAATCATCGATCGAAGGAACTGTACGATCTGTCCCTCGAAAATTATTGTCTACCAAAGGAGAAGAGAGATAAAAGATAGTGGGGAAAAGAGGCATGTTCCGAGGAGAACGAGAGAACGAAAACAAGCAGGAGAAACGACGGAGAGAAGGCACACGTTCGTCTAGGGTAAAAATAAACTCAGGCTGGACTTTCACAACGCAGTAAACGCTGTCTTCCAACTATTTTCAGAATTAATATTCTCTACTTTTTTCTCCTCCTCTTTTTGATTAGCTACGCAATCTGGTCTTTTCTTTTTCCGTTTCTTGAGAGAGATTTTCTCTTTTTCCCTCCTTCAGCACTAAATTATTGTTCAATCAAAATGATAATGGTTGAATGTTTCTGCTACGTTTTTTCTCTTTAACGTTTACGTCTAACAGATGACTCTACTATGATTCTGATCGTGTTTGAGAACATGCAATCTATATACCGGTAAATTGAACACGATGCCCAGCTTTTTCAAACAACTTTGTTGTACGGACGATGGTTGATAAAATACGGTCCAGGTCGGCGGTTTCTAAAGTCGCTGACAATTTATAAGCAAGCACTGTCTGATGGTATCGGCGGACGGACAAGAAGTACACGGTAAGAATAATCAGCGAAACTTGAGACTTTGTCGTCACGCTGATCTTTAACTCGCAAACAGAGAAGACACGTTATTCGTCTATTGGAATGAAGCCAGAAACTTTTTGGTATCCCTTTCGAACTTCCGGTTGAGAACGCCAGACGCGTGGAATCCTGTCGTGAATTTTTTAGCGTTGTAGACAGTAGCTTATTACCTTTGAATGCGAAACGATTTAGCAAAAGATACAGTGCTATGCAGTTGTACAACTTACTGAGAGGAAATTAACTGGGTCCACGCAATCGTAACTTTAATTCGAACAGATTCATTTGCAAGGTTACACGATCGAAGTAAATATGTAACGTTGGTATGAATTTTCGTGTGCATATACCACTGTACCCTTCCTAATTGCATTGTAGCAGTCGGTGACATTTATTGGCGTTGATTGAAGCGTTGCATCAGTCATACTTTGATTCAAGGTCTGTTTTGCGCGCACACGGTGGCCTCAATAAAAACGAATCGCGATTTAATATTAGGAACTATCGATAAACATCGTTTATTCCTTAATACAGCCGAAATTATCGGCTAGAATGAACACCACTTACAAACAGAGTTATCGCGGATTTCATTTTCTTCCCATTTGCAATGTTAATCATGCCAAATGATTTTAAGCTAATTACGTACCGGGAGAACGCAATATGGCCTACAATAAGAACGATAAGATATTTAATAATCTTTCAAAAAATCGTAGAGAGAAGTATCGATAAATCAGTGCAACTATGCTACCACCGTCGATAACAAAAATGCCTGGACTATACGATTGACGTTAAGAGCTTCCATAAACCTGCAGAGGGATTCAAAACTTGTTTGATCAACGTCATTCGGGACATTACAATTTTAAATAAGCTGTTAAAGTCACATTTAAATAGGAATGCGACAATTAGTACAAGTTTATCGCACGAAACTAATCGCGCTTCCGGTTTAATTATCATGTATTCCGATCCAATTATACGTCTACTCTAGAGATATATAGGAATATACGTATCGCATCACATGCATGTGTGCAGCTGCCCGCGCTACATTTTTTAGCCCCTGCTACATAAGTTCAAGGAAACAGTCAATAAAAACAGCAATTCAATTTTTCTCCCCGCATTAGCCTGCTGCATTAACGGTGATTTATAAATAAACATGTAGTCTTTATATCGTAAAAAAACTCGTCGAGTTTTAAGAATGAGAAAGAATTTAGCAATTTGAAAAAACAACTACGATAAGTTATAGATCTTTTACGTCATTTATCGACACAAGTGCATAGCCGATGAACAGCAACTGCATGGCGTGCAGGCAGGCGTGCGATTGCGTGCCTAGAAAGTTTAGCGAGTACGTGTGCGATCGTCGATCCTCGGATACTACCAATCAACCACGATAACGGAAACAATGCATCGGTTGCATCGATTGCAGATCGCACGACTGTATGAGTGTGCATCCGACGTGACTACTTTCAGTATACGAATCACTAAGTTGACTTGTTCTTATCTTCGATATGACTTCAGTCCTCGTTCAAATGCGACAGAATTATTTAAAAGATTCGCGGAGAAGTGTACTTTAACGATAAATGTAACACGTGTGTAACGCCGGTATTTCAGAATATGACGAAATTTCGAACCGAATGACGTCGGCATATTGCAAGCTTGTATCGCTGTTGTAGGTTTTAAGTTGAATTTGGCGTAATTCGAGGTAGAACGTTGCAGTAGTATTTCACGAGTTTCTTCAGCGTGCGAAACGTTTCGTTAGATAAGATTACCATCTTTGCTGAAAAAGAAAAGAAGAACAATCGTTTGAACAATAGCAGGAATGATACCGATTTGCGACATTTTTCTTCGTACGAGCTTTCAACATCAAACCTCTTCAAACGACATAAGTGATTGGATTTATTTCTCACCTTATTTCTAGAGTTATTTCTCAAAATATTGGAACATTATTCGCGTTATTGTCACAAAAAAGAAAGGCATAAGGCAAAGGAAAGTTGTGGGGTCGATGAGACAAAAGTTACTTTGTAAGCCATGTCTGTTATTTCCTCGAATGCTAATTATATTCTCGTCCTCGATGTATCGATACGTCGCGTAATAAATAATGGGATGAAACAAGATCGAGATCAAAGACTGTACCGCTCCCTCGAAGTCAACTTGTAAATCGGCGCGTGTATGTATCTTTGTTCGACTCTGTCAACTTTTCTCAAATTATCAGTTTCCCAGTTATCTCGAGACGCTCAGTCTGCCACGCGTGTAAGCGCCTCCGAGAAATGTATATACATAATCAAATGCGTTTTCACAATCACGTAATCTCGTACGATTAGAATTATCTAAAGCTACAAGAAATAAAAGAAAAGGATGTACTGATTGCATTATATTTTCGATGGTGGCAAAACGTGATACAAAAACGGTTGCGAATTTGTATTCCACGATAAACACGTACTGCGGAGTCAGGGTTAAAGGGAAAGGTCGTGCCACTATAATTAAGTTGTTACGTTAAGCTGTTAATTACTTCGAAAAATGGAAATAATACACGAAGGTTTCTTTTAAAATAGTCTCTTATATTTTCTCTCAAATTCTCATAATCTACGCGTGTGTATATAATACAATATTTAATACAGTAATTTTTCTTTCTTCGAGCGTACAAAAAAAGTGAAATAAACGACAGATTCATGAAGCCTGTCTCACCGTACATTAAAATCGTTCTCAAGCATTCTCTCTCCCTTTCTCTCCGAATAAATTCAGTCTCTCCCTCTCACGCTGTCGCTACGTTGTTCTCGGTGAATCACAATAGCGGATATGCTTGGTAATCGGTCGAATTTTGCCGACAAATTGAGAAATATGCGGATCGGGCGATGCGCAGTATATCGTTGCTTTCGCCGCTGTTTTTAACGTCCGCTGAGAATTTCGACCGTACAAAGAGAGGAAAAAAAAATGGATAAGCCCTCGAGGCTAGGTATCGACGATTCTACGATTATCACACTTTGAGCTGCCTCTCTTGGCGAGGGAATCCGATTCGTTCGTTTCTAGCTCTCGATCAACCCTCAGAACGAGTTCACGTTCGACTAACACAGTTTTCCATATATCATCCGGATGATTTATGATCGAATGCGAATTAAATGCCAACCGATCAGAATGACTGGAGATGTACAGTGGACGAGCGGAAGCTATATATTAAAAAGGAGGGAAGAAAAAAAAAGAAACGAACAAAAGTACGATCTATCGAATTTATACGACATCTAAGATCGATCTGGTTTATTCGATTAGAAAACAGAGAAGAGAAACAAGATGATGATTTTGACGCGTCGAATTAGCGACCAAATAAATAAAAGAATAAATGTGAATACTGATATTATTACACGCTTGGACGAGTCACCGGTGTTCTCTTTCGCGGAGCGTATCCTTGCCAACAACCCGCACGGGAACGTTTCTTTGCCGCGGAGAGGACGTAAAAATACGTGGCTCGTTCTAAGGACGCGAGACATTTTGGTCCTTGATTCTTTCTCGCGCCAGCGAAGCTATAAGGCACGAGCGATCTTTAAAAGGCACCGGGCGAGTTTTCAAGCGCTTCGTTACATACAATTTGATCATATTAAAATATAATAATTATGTATACATATACATATTTATTTATATATATATATATAAAGTCACTTTGTCTCTATTATTCAACACTACATATATATATATATATATTTTTCTTTACACATATAAGATACACGAGCATTATGCTTACAACGTAATTATTTCTGTGTGTATGTATGTGTGTGTGTGTGTCTGTGTGTGTATGTATGGTTTGTGTATATACATCGTCTCCCTGCACGTGGGTTTAAAACGTGGGGGTTCGCCCACGAAGTTTTTCTCCCCACTTCGAACCAACCGTTCGTTCTCTACGTGTCTCCTTCCCCTCTCTTTTACTTTCTGTTCACACAGTTTGATGAACTTAAAAAATATTGCTTATACAACGCTTTATGCCTCGTTTAATAGACTCTTGTGGGCTGTGCACATGGAACACACGCGTGCGCACGTTCAAAACGCGCGCCGACATACACGCAATCACGCATTTATTTCTCGCGCTATCGAACGCGCACGCTCTCTCTCTCTCTCTCTTTCACACACACACACGCGCGCGCATACACACACACACACACACTCTCTCTCTCTCTCGTCAGTCGGTTCGACAGTACGTTTATTATGTAAAACGTTGTTATGGCATTATGTAATTCATTATGGCTTAAGATTACGCTATATTTTATTGTACATTGCCACCTTGACCCTATCGGCGAACGCGGACAAGGTTAATACGGTTTCTTCTCCCACTTTGGCGATATTCGATTCTCGAGGTTTATTCTTTGCCAAAGAAATTCGTTAAAAAGATCTCAGTTAGAAAATGAATAAAAGAAAGAGATTAGCGGTACGTTTGTAGATGAAATTCCATCTACCAATAGAGGTAGGAAACCGGAGGAATTTAGTTTCTGCTCCATGAAGGCATGAATCCAGGTAAATACCGTTGACCCGTGCGTAGCATTATCCACGAGGAACGCAAGTGCATCTTTCTGGCTGATAATACACGCGGCTATCGCAACGCGTGAGATTAGTTGCGCTTGGAACGAGCTCGATTGAGTCTGAATATTGAAACATTGACGTAACTGCTCTGTCTGCGATGGTAATTTACAAAATTGCCCTTCTTTGCCGCGACGTGCTCAATTGCCGGATCGCAGAACATTCGTGGAACGCTATTTTCGGTTTCCCATCCGAGGGAAACTTTCTCGCCGGATCGTACTCTATTTTCGCAGACCGTGGGGCACACGCTGTTGTACGCGTAGATTATCTCGTTCCAATCGATTCGGGCAGATAGCGATCGATTATCAGACACAGAAAACGGAACGGGGCATTTCCGAGTTTTTCTTTTTTTTCGCTTCGCGACCGACCGCTGATTCAGAAACTTTCTTCGCCGTGATAGCTCGAAGGTCGTTCGACGATAAAAATGAACGCGTTATCGACTCGAGAATCGAAATAAGCCGGCGGAATACCAACCGGAGAACGAACGCATGAAACGATGTAAACGCGTGAATAATTTATAAGAATAATTAAGAACATTACTCTCGTGGTTTTGTACCGCGAACGAGTGCGCTAACCTAAATTAGAATCGCGACCATATTCTCTAAACACTCGATGCTATAACGACGTTGAGTCCCTGTGTGATTCTAATTTCTATATTATATGTATATCGTGTAAGGCACGCGGATTTTACGGAACGTTTTCGTGTGTGTGTCTTTTTGAAAGTCTCCCCGTACGATCAGTCTCGTATCCCGACTTGGAGTATACGTATATGTGCGATCAACGAACGAATCGTTTCGACGTAGAACATTGGATTGTCAAAATTTCATCGATCAATAGCAATAAAAATATTTACAATTACTTTATCGCAACAAATACATATTTTTAAGTTTCTCCACGCGGAATCGATTCGCCGTTTTACATTCCCTTTTTATCCTTGTCGATTTCTTAGCGGAATCGAGACACAAATTTGTACAAAATATAGCTCTATGTACGACTAAGTCTACGTGTAAGTTTGCTCTAAATTGGGCGACACGTTTGTTCTAGGATCAGCGAGAAGAAAGGCACGGATGGCGGCCTCGAAGGGAAACGTGTACGGCGAATTTCTCGCGAAGTCCTTCTTCGACATTTCGTCCCTTTCCTTCTTCCTCGGGATCGCACATTCGATACAAAAATAACCACGAATGATGATGCTAGCTAGGAGATCGAACCAAATTATTATCAAAGATGCATCGATATGTTCGAAATCCGAGTTTACTCGGCTCGATCTTCCCATACCATCCTATATACATATTTACAGAAAATTCGATCCAGGATGAAGGAAACGAGATACCTAAGGAAATAAATCGCCTGGCTGTTCGAGAGGGGAGAGAGTTCCGGAAAATTAAAGAGGAAAAACTGAGACGAAACCCTGTCGTAATACTTACGCACCATGCGTGGCACACGGGTGCGCGTATGGAAGAAATTGTTTGAGCAATTAAACGATATTAAGAGATCGATCCTCGATTGAACGCGAATCGAGAGGAGCGGCGTCGGTTCGTGGAAAAGTCCGGTGTCGCGACACCGATCTGCTTCTACCAAGAAATCGAACCGGGCTCGAAAAAGAAAAACCGGTAGCCGTTTCCCATGGTCGATTACGAATCGAGCGTTTTCCGCGAAGGCAATTGGCGGCGAAATAAAGGCGGTTTCGTGGTGTTGCGTTGCGGAACGGCACGGTGCCGCGCGCGAGACCACGCTACCGAGTTTTCCTCATGATCGATATCATACCGAGACTGACATAATTCCGTAATTATAGCGAGCACACTCGACCTCTAAACGGCCTAGCCGATAGCCGTCGAACGAGCTAATCTCGTCGATAAAGCCGGCGCGAGAAAAAACTTCTTCGTGTGTGTACTTCTCCGACGATTTTCATGGGTGGGGAGAAGGAGGGAGAGTAGAAGGGGAGGAGTGAAGAAACCTTGCGGAGGGCAGCGGGAGAAAAAAAGGCCAGATCCGAAGAAGTTGGAACATGCCGAACGAAGACGCGACCGTGTATAATCTCCTTCCATATCCCGGCTCGTCCAATGGTCGATTAAGACTTATCGTGATGTATAACGCGACACCGATGATCGAAGAAATGATAAACGCTTACGTGGCATACGACGTGTCGTAGATCACGTACCAATCGATCCTGCCCGGCTAAATCCTTTGTGGAAGGTCTTTTGCTATTCAACGAATATCTACGAATCGATTGAAACGTCCTTGATACGGATAAAATATTAACTATAATTTTTTTTTTGTTTCCGAATTAAATGTCATCGATAACGGTTACATTGAACGGAGATATCGGCTTTAAAAAATTGCTTTCGTATCAAATATCGACTCCTTGATATTCGATTAATTTGGATGGATACTATATCCCGTCAAGATAGAACAAACCGTCGCTCCTGTTTCGCGCAATCGAGGATCAAACGTGATTTACCAATTAAGTGTAATGAGGACTCGCTGGATACCTAACAAACGCACTCCTGACCTGTGGGAACTCAGTGTACGGACTTGGGTGAGCCCTCCAGGATACCGGCAATCTCAGGCTCAGCTCGAGAGCATAGTCGTGACCCCTGCCTTCGTTCAAATTACAGATACTTTGGCAGTTGTTGTTGTTGTTGTTGTTGTTCACGATTATACTCTGGCTACTGACTGGCGACAAGCCTCTTTGGATCGCGTGTTCCTTGATGGGTTTGGTCACAGGATTGTCCAAATACGGTTTGAATAGAATTGCGTCCTTCTTCAACGTTGGTCCCGGTGGCGGAGGCGCGGTGGACGCCGGTGGTGTTGGCACGGTGCTCGATACCGGCTCCGTCCTCGACGGAGAGGCGACGACG